AGCTGATATTTATAGGTGCATGTGTGTAGCAACAAAAACATTTTATATTTTAGTTTTTTTAGATCAAATTTGAAATAATTTGAAATGATTTGAAAAAAATTTAAAAGCTTCAATTATTTCATTGCACTGGTGCACATCCTGCATAACTAAAATCTTTGTTAGCATGTTGCATTTTTGATGCAATAGTTGATGTCTTGGTCATTTTACAACCCTATAATTAATGAGTCAGACAAAACTGTTCACTAGTAGAGGTCTTGACAATATTTCATGCCATAGTTGATTTAATCCAAACATATATGCATGACTGGGGATATGCATTCCTTCAAAGAGTTCTAAACCTTTATTTTCACCATGAACCTGGGAAATGATACACATTGTTAAAGTGAAGTTGGATCCGTTTTGCTGTGAGCAGAAGAGTAAGCCTTTCACATCAGCAGAGATTTTCTGTCCACACATAGAGCTAAAGAGGGATACCACCTGTGAGAGGGAACCATTCAGGGAAATCCCATTAGCATTAATCCTGTATAGGCTCAGTGGAAGGAGGATCCACTTTCTCCCTCAGTCTACTTGTTCCTTCAGGCACCACAGTCAGTCATTTGTGGTGACAAACCTGTCAGCTTCAGTGTTGGAAGGGACACGGACCTCCCTGTTGGACACAGACTCAGGATATTAATGCTGCTCCATGCTAGCTGTGGTGCTCAGTCGCAAGAGTAAGTCTATAATAATAATAATCATCAGTTTGTTTGAAAAGCGCCTTTCAGGACACTTACAGCATTGGTCACATCGTAGGAGAATGTGAGAAAATACAAAGACAAGCTGGCATGAGTTACAGAGCATGGATTACAAATGAAGTTAAGATAGATATGCTAATCTAAAGAGGTGTTTTCAAAGCAGTCTTGAACACAGGAAGAGATGTGGTGTTTCTTAGGTCAGGTGGTAGAGAGTTCCAGATGAGAGGTGCAGAACAGGTGAAGGCCCTGCTCCCCATGGTGGAGAGGCAGGCAGTGGATACTTGGAGGTTAAGGGAAGAAGAGGATCTGAGAGGGTGGGAGGGGATGGAGATGTGTACGAGGTCGGACATGTAAGGAGGGGCAAGATGGTGGATAACTTTAAACGTGAGAAGAAGAATTTTGAAGACGATGCGTGATTTGACTGGGAGCCAGTGGAGGTGCTGCGGGACTGGGGTGATGTGGTTATGGGAGGAAGTTTAGGTGATGACACGTGCAGCCGAGTTCTGGACCATCTGAAGCTTATGGAGGGATTTGTTGGGGAGGCCAAAGAGAAGAGAGTTACACTAGTCAATCTGTGAGGTCACAAGACTGTGGACAAGGATGGCTGTGGTGGGGGGTGTGAGAGAAGGATGGATACAGTTGATATTTCTGAGGTGGAAGTAGGCAGACCGAGTAACATTGGTGATGTGTGCAGTGAAGGAGAGAGTGGTGTCGAGGATGACACCAAGACTCTTTACCTGAGGGGAGGGGGTTAGCAGAGAGTTGTTGATAGGGATGAGGAGATTATTAGATTTTGAGATCGAATTTTTAGTGCCGACAAGGATGATTTCTGTTTTATCACTATTCAGTTGAAGGAAATTGTCTGAAAACCAGTGATTGAGTTCATTGAGATAGTCAGAGTGGATGGAGGGAGGTTGTGTGGAGTTTGGCTTGGTTGACAGGTAGAGCTGTGTGTCATCGGCATAACAATGGAAACGGACACCAAACTTGCGGAAAATGTAACCAAGAGGAAGGAGGTAAGTAATGAAGAGAAGGGGTCCAAGGACAGAGCCTTGGGGCACGCCAATGGAGACGGGGGATGACTCAGAGTGGGATTTAATCTGGATGAATTGAGTGCGGTCAGAAAGATAAGATTTGAGCCAAACGCAGTACCTGAGAAGTCAATGGATGTTAGTCTGTTGAGGAGAATAGAATGAGAGATCGTATCAAAAGCAGCACTTAGGTCAAGGAGGATGAGGATGGACAGGAGACCAGAGTCGGCAGCAAGAAGAAGATCATTGGTGATTTTTACAAGGGCGGTTTCGGTGCTATGGTGGGGTGAAAACCTGATTGAAACTCCTCAGCATGGAGTTGACTGACAACAACTTTTTACAGAATCTTGGAGATGAATGGCAGGTTAGAGATTGGACAAAGATTACTGAAGTCTGATTATCTGTGAGGTTCTGTTCTGTTCTCATAATTTCAACACAAAAAAGTAAATAATCTCAGCATTGTATTGAAGAGCAACAGGCCCGCATGTTGGTTTTTTAATTGTCTTTAATATTTTTGAGATGTTTGTGGGTTTGTCTGTATCAGAAAAATATCTCATGGAGACATATTTTAATGGAACTCAATAAGTATTTCATCTTTAACAGATGCTGTAACAACAAAGTCATTTCAGAGCCCTGTATATGAATTTTATAACAGAAATAAGACAAAACTTGTGTTGGACCACTCGTTTGTTTTATTGTGAAAATGTAGCAATTTGCACTGTTGACCAACAAAACCACCAGCATTTGTGCTCCGATCACTATGAAAATCAGAGGTTTTTATTTTAAAAGCTAAAATTCAGTATCCATTTGTCCTTCCATCATCCATCCATCCATCCATCCATCCATCCATCCATCCATCCAGTATCAGTAATCTTGTTCTTTTGGTCACTACCCAAAGTTCGTGACCATAGGTGCATCCTTGTCAACCTCTTCGGAAGTTTACCTGTATAATACGCCTCAAAAATCTGTAAATTTTGCTAAAAATCTGTACAACTCGCACCCGCGGTGGTGGGGCTGGGGGTCTGTTGACTGAGGACATGAAAGTGCCTGCTGCGAAGCAAGAGGAAAGATAAGATAAGATAAGATAAGATAAGATAAGATAAGATAAGATAAGATAAGATAAGATAAGATAAGATAAAACTTTATTGATCCCACAG